TAGATATGAATGATTCGGATGAGCAAGTACACGCATATAAATTTCTCAATGAGTACAATTCTCGACCGTATGTCAGCTCGCTCCGGCATTGACTGCATGACGAATATTGTAAAAAATCTCCAGATAATCAATACAATAGTTTCAAATAACACCAGTGTTGCAACAAAACCTGAAAAAAATTATGCCGTTACCAAGTAATTTATGGAGAAATAAATACCAATAGCGGGCATTATTTTATAATCAGGAGGCAAATTCTCCATCAGAATTACTCCATTCATTATTTGAACAACCAAGCAAAGAAGTAGCCATATTAATCCGTGCTGCGACTGCAGGAGACAGAAGGCATAGGTTAGGCTGAAAGACCAAAATCTGTTGAGTGTGAATAGTGTGTAGGGTTAAGTGCCAGCCAATGTATGATTCAAAAATTACAATCGAAGAAAATGCTTACCAAGTGATTGTAAACAAGGGCATGGCCATGCGAGTTGTGTAAAATATGTTGTGCCGACGGAAGATTAGATTGAAATAGAACACTGATCGGACCATCTTTTTCGGATACCTGGAAATTCGAAGCACATTTCAAAACTGAAGTAAAACTCAGAATTTAGTAAGTTAATGCCGCATTTTTTTACCCTCTTTGTGTCGCTAAACAATCTCTGTTTTATTCTAATGTCGACTTTGTCGCTGTTATAGGGAAGTTAATTCGCATGGCTTTACTTCATCAAATCAGTAGCCCTCAAAAGGCTGATTCAGACGACCCATTCATATCTTCAGTGATGCTTTCGACAAAGCCATGTTTGTCCTCAACAATTTTTGCTGGCCTATACCTTTCTTTGCTTCGAATTCTCAGTCAAATGCTGCACAAGTTGGTTTAGTTTTTCGTCTTTAAAAGGTGAACTTTTCAATATGAGAAAGTTGATAGGTTTTGGAAGCTGCTGCCCAGACTGGCAGTTATGCTCAAAATAAACTCCATAAGGGCGCCCAGAGAACTTTTTAGATGAAGACTGCAGATAACGGATTCGACATTCAGATGGGTCATGACCTGCTTAGAAGCTTCTCGGTCCAATCGCTATTACCATGCAAAACTTACCCCTCCACTGATTCGATGACCTTGGATCCAGGAACGAGATATATATTCTTCGCCTCAATTTTCTCCAGCAAGAAATCGCCAACATCGACCTTTGACGGCTTTCCGCTTCGGGACTGATAGTGCGTCTTCTCAGCGCCGCCATAATCCGTAAATCTCATTCTGAACGATTGAGTATATAAAGTTGAAGTCGTTACGTGAATCCGAAAAACATACTTTTCTATGGTGAACGGGCTATACATAGTGAAGGAGCAGTTCTGAGTATCATGTGGATAGTTGTCATACTCGAAGTAGCATGTTGTCTTTACGAGGACGTCAACCTTAAATGTGTTTGAATATGCTGCAAAAAGGACGTCTCGTTTCGAATAGATCACAGCGAATGCAAAGGTGGTGAAAGTGCTATGTTCAGGTCTCGGCAAGAGGTGGCTTTCCGAAAATGCAAAAAACGAAGTCCCTCTTTATTTTCGCAAAGTTTTAAGAAGTCCCCTTTGACCTTAATCCCTAAACGTAAAAAATCCTCTAAACGAATGTTAACTGAAAAAAAAACATTGCAATGTTTTGTTGTCTTTTCGGCCGTATTAAACAATATCCCCTTTGCTTTCTGACCAAAAACGATATCCATCTTGCTTATAAGCCATCTGTGCCAATCCTGGCTATGTTGACATAGCCAGGATTGGCGGTGTTGACTTTGGAATACCATTTTCTTCCACAAACTCGAAAAGTTGGGGACAAAGTTTGGGATCCGAGAGCAATCAGCCGGATTGCTTAGTGCCCGTAAGATTCTCGAAGGAACCGGGTCTGGATAAATGGGTGTTAACCCGGATAATACACAATCTCATTTATGGAAAGAATGTGGTCCGACTCTCTGAAGGAATCTCCCAGCCATTTATTAGAGCTCCATTGCTTGTTTATTGTCGTTATTATAGTTGCTTCACGCAAAGGAATGACAAACGAATAAATTATACACAAGGATATGCTGCACCCACCATGCAACGGATGTGTCCCATATTCGTAATTGTAAGTTCTGTCGTCTCGAAATTGAGTATGTTAGCTGTCCGAAAAAATCTGGAAACTGATGTTTAGATTTCTTGCAGAAATTTCTTTGAACAAAATTATTTGGAG